TTCATTAGTATCAATGCACTTGCTTAATCCGATTACGAGTGAACCACTTTCCAAGTACTTCTGTATTTATTGTGGCAAACGCATAAATAAATTCTCGAGTGTTAAACTTCGTTTTTTAGTACCCGCAGAAGGAAACAATCAAGCGGTGTTAAATCTGGCGAACAGGCTGACCAAATAATACCACATCTGATCCAGTGAGTGGGAAACATTCTGTTTAATACCTGCTGTGCATGTCGAGTATTATGTACAGCGCTGTGATGATACACCACATTCTTAAGCGTATTAGAGACAGTATATCTCTTAATAGACCTGGTAATACTTTGGAAATATGTTTAATCCATTAAAGAAATACGGTCCAGTGGCTAACCAATTATGTTAACCAAACATTGATGGTCGATTTCTCGAAGCTAATGCGACTTTGCGGTCGTTATTTTTTAAATTTACTTCGCTTGTAAATATTGCTCCGACAGGATAAATGTACCATTTGTATTTCGTATCTGTCAAAATTGTACTTTAAACTGTAATTTATGAAGTATCGATAAATATGAATAAAATTCCAGAGAATGCAGAATACAGACATTACTCTAACCGATATTTGCATTACGTGAGATTTGTCGAGTACGACATATGGATATGTGGACAACAGATGCTAAAACAATAGAGTATTCTTCGTTTTCTACGATTGTTTTCACGGTTTTGTATATTGAAGGAACCGTGCTCTTTTAACATTTTACTGAACCATAAAAAGGTGCAAAGGTTAATTTCGATCAGTTTCGTATATTTTAGCTCTCGGATCGCGAACACCATAAACACCATAAACACCATATACGATATTATCATATCGTATTTTTCATTGTTACATGGCAATAAAAGTAACAGACAATATCTCGCACAATAACTTCCACGATATCATTTGCACTATTTCAGGAACTAAGCTGGCAATGAGATACTAAGGTATCTCATGTTGACAGTGGGTAAAATCCAAGAGAAACATTACGGTCATGTTGACTGAATCTATTTTCTAACAGATTAGATCTACTAGATCTTTCATCTGAAAATACAACAATTGAAGGCTGTATCTTTTCAGGCGAAATTCTCTATCCAAAGAAAGAATATTAAACATTTCATTGAAAAAAACTGATGCTTTTTCCCTGTTTCAGCATTCTCTCTGTCTGATGTATCATTTTGCGCAATTCTCAAAGCGAAAGCGTGATATACTTTATTTCATATTTTTCATATGAATACAGGAAAGTGGTCGAATATGAAACGGTGCAATATGGAATGGTGTCATTTTGAAAAGAACCTGACAAATGTTTGACAAATAGTTGTAGGCTATCTTGCTGTTTCATTTTACTGTAATTATTTGTCAGTCCGACATGTATTAATAACATTACAACTGATATTCGAAAACTTGACGAATTTCATTTATTTTCCATTCTACCATGATTATTTCTTAATGTATTTTACAACATTTATGAATGTTCATATCGCTTTTCTGACTTTGTGAAATTATAAATATACTCAGTAGAAATCTAATGGTATATTTGTTATTTATATTCTGCGTACACGACAAGAGTGCTGATGCGGAGTTACATACTGGGAAATATAATTATTGTACATTGTATCACTTTTGCAAAATGGAAACTCATAAATATCTTAATCAATAAGAAGAATACGAGAGTGGGAAGGTAAGATTCGCCCGGAACTTGTGGATTAGAGATATCTTTGCAATACTTTTTAATACTTCTGTTCTCGGGTTATATTCGCATCATTGATTTCACCATCGTCGTTTATTATCAATTGCGAAACACGTCGCACCCATTGAAAGTCCTGCTAAATTTATGTAAGATACCTCCAATAATTGAAAGATTTAATACATGATCTATAAATGAAAGATTTGATTATACAAATTTTCCTTTCCCAAGAAACTTTTCGAAGATTCTACGCTTGATTGGTCGTAAATGTGACTTGAATAATTTTGAAAACCTACATTTAACATTTAATTAACAATTTTCAGTACGTTCATATATATTATATCATTTAATTAAATTCTTTACTTCATTTATTAATTTCAATGCTTGTATACATGCTCTATCATTTTGTAGGTAATAAATAGACGTTATTAGCATGTACTGTATAATATTTAGCGAATTTAATCTTCGTTTAAAAATACTATTAACTTGGGATTATGTCTTCTTTGAAATCAAGTAAGATTAGTATTATATATTCTTGCTGTTCTCAAAAGTAGGTGAGTTATTCAGGTGACCTATTTTAAATGCCCCACCCGGTATACAACAGTTTAGATTATACAGTGCATCTCATAATATGTGCGCTCTTGTAAATCCTAGGTCAAATTGAGTTTTTAAAATGAACTGCGCAATCTTTTTTCTATTATAATGTATAAAATCCAGTTGTTTCAAGGTCGCACCTCGATCCGCAGACCGAGACTGATTTGGAAGAAATTTTTTACCGATCTGTAAAGGTGTATCGTTTTATTACTTTTATTTTTCGAAGAAACACTAAATATATATAAATTCAAAGCATAACAGAGAAAAAGAAATTCATTTTAATAACAAAATTATTTCGATTGAAATCATTTATATTTCTAGAAATAATAACAAAACTTGAAATATTTTGTAACATAAGTTACACAAGTTTTATTCTTTTTATCATCTATTCTTTATTTATATTAAATCACTAATCTTTTAATAATACATTCAGCTGTATACTCAGTTTTCCAGAAAATACAATCTAAAATATAATTTTAATATTCTTCAAAAATTTATAAGTAAAATAATTTAATAAGGTAAATCAAAAGTTAAGAAATAAGATAAAGTGAAGAGGGAAAGCATGTTGTAGAAGATACTTAATTTTGAAACCTTAGCTAGCAAAGATATTATTTTATCACTAGACTATTTCTGACTGTGAATTTAATTTATATTTAAATGAATGTATGCTTTGAATAATTTCTTCTTTTATATTTGAGAGCCATGTGTTTGAACTTTGCGAAGTTATTCGCAAAGGGATCCTTTACAATTGTTCAAAGTTTAAGTACAGAATTGTATTGCAAACAATTGCCATTCAACGATACTTTAGTCTAATGAGATTAACAAAAAGTTAAAACAAAAGACGACATTTCATTTTAAAATATGTTCAGATTACATGCACCTTTTGTAATGCTATATTTTACTCTTATATTTAGATTTTAATATTCTGTATTATATACCACTCTTCTGTTAAATTGATTAAAATAATTTATGGAATATTGAAACAATACTGAAATATGTTATATCAATATAGACTATGATATTACAATGTGACGAGTGTTATCAAGTACATTATTATATGTTTCTATTATTTGATACTTGGAACTGAATGAACAGTAGTATAATAAGAAAAATTATGTAATTTAGCTGGTACAAATGATAAAAGAAATCAGATATAAAATTAAGAACATACATTAGAAATACATGCTTCATACTAATACTCTAACCTTTACCAGCTAAATCTAAATATAAAGTCTAATCATTTTTTTTATTTAGTCCCTTGAAAATATTTGTTGTCTAAACATACCTGCGCATTAAATTACTAGTACTTTTAATTGTAAGCTAAAAATCCATCCGATACTTGTAATAGTACCATCACAGTTAATTAATTTTTCTATCATTAATTAGTTTACAAATTTAATTTATATTATAACATAGATTTCAAAACATATTAAATGCTTTTGTCACTAATAATTTAATTTTACACATATTTCAACAACAATATAGTTCTTTGTATCAGATATCAATTTTAATATACATTCGAAATTTAATTCAATACTTATACAAATTGAAAATACTTTTACCCGGTATATAAATTCGAAACTCGATAAATAATATTGGAAAATGCATGAAGTTTTACGCTTTCATGTTTGTAGAAAAAAAGAAAAATAAGGTTTACGTAAAAATCAATAAAGCAGAATATACGAATATTGATCATTTCTATTAATTTTTCTGGCGTATATTTATTTGTAGAAAACTATGTTTACACCTATGATTAACTGTTTAAACAATGTTAAAATCAATGTTCGCATTTGAATATCAAATCAATACGTAAAATACATATGTTTCTACAATAACACGCTGCATACAGATGAGATAAACTTTCTATACCACATGCACCGTGCAAACGCGAATCCTCGCGTTTTTTTGTTACGCCATAACCTCTTTCTCCATTTTACCTCCTTTTCCAACATTAACAGTTTGGAACCTATCAAATTAGCAACCAATTTAACTAATTTTACAAATTAATACAATCTAGAAAAAGAAATTTAGCAAACTATTACGTTAAAATTATTATTAATTATATATAAATTAATAGTTTAAAAAATCAATATTTAAAAAAACTTTAGTACAATTTAAAGATGAAAATGACTATTGTCTTTCTATTTAAAAAAATATTACATTTTTTTACGAAAATAGTATTTATTATGCTTTTATTATCTTTCACATTTCTATTTTTGTTTTTTATTTTAGTTTAGTTACACTTTCTGACATTACAAAGTAAAATTAATGACTAATCTTTTACAATGCTTTGTTCATATATGCCATGTTTATAGTAGACTATAATATTCCGTAAGTATGATAACATTATCTGTTTCACCAATACATTATTATAATAAAAACATGAATTGCGAATTTTAAATCACAAATAATTTGTAACCATAATTGTTGCTATATAATTAGATCGCTGCACTTACAATTTAAAAATATTAACTTCGAAAAAGGAATTCAATCCTTTCTAAAATCATATCATACGCATTGATTTCTGTCCATATTAAAAGCTAATGCATGCAGTTTAAAGCGTATCCTACACACGACGTACACACGCACGATACACACGCGCACATATGCTCGCGCGCGCACGCACGCATTTTCAAAATTTTATTTCAAATTCTAAATGAAACGATCTGATTATATAGCAGTAATTACAATATGTATGTAATTATTACTGACCTTTTTTACTTGAAAGTGTTCCGGCCGTAAATTTTCGACGATTTCTTGGTCAGGTTTGACGGGTTGAGGTACCGACGACCGAAACCCGTCGAGTACACCTTTAATTGTAAACTTCTTCATTACGGACCGAAGATAACACCTAGAGGATCACATGTGCAGCAACAACACAAAATTCTAGTCTTCCAGAAGTTTCAAATCAGATTACAAAATTTGGAAAGAATTCGATAAAACAATGTAATTACAAATTTCTCAATGACAAGAATTTGTAACAGGTTTCATCTATGAGTTTCTTCTTCCGCGGAGAACCATCAATGACATATCTTCGCGTATCAATGGCAAATATCACTCATCGATATTTCGAGTCTTGCAAGAGCTCTTCTACATTTTGACAGAACAACGATGACGTCGAAGGGGCACAGCACATTTCGATATCGCAGTATTTTGGATAAATATAGATACACACGTTACCGTGACCGCTTATCGACGCGTTTTTACAAACGCTGCGTGATCAGAATTGTTTTCGTAGTTGACAGCAATGCAGTGTTGTTTAATCGTATCAGGATCAATAACTGGAAACAAGCTCATGTGGACTCTTGCACGACCACGAACTTACTCTATGCGCAAACGTGAACGAAACTTTATGGTAGATTTTTATGTTATCTTAGGGGATATTTATATAAATGTAAAAAGATTTCAACATTCTTTTTTCAGATAACAAGATTTATTATAACTGTTTAATTATGTCAATGATCTTATATTGCAGCAATTATATTAGATTTTTAAACAAAATTACTTTAGTAATATATATCACTGTTTCATGGCAGAAAGAACTAACTAGATGACGTCTGCAGTTCGCAAAGCCAGGGAAATTCCTTATCATATGAGTAATGCTTCTGCGTAACGTGTTTCTACCTTCATGGTCATATACTTGGTGAGAAAAAGTAAATGAACAGCGAAAACGCGTGATGATGTCATAAATGTACAAAATAAAATAAATATTGTACTCAATTGTTGTAATTCGTTTATAAAATGTATGCATATAAAATAAAAAGTATTTCGTCTAACAAACAGAATATATCATAATCAATAGTATATTGGAAACTATAAAACTTTTTATCAGCTGAGTATATAATTTTGGTGACAGGATCATCATTAGCACATGCGCATTGCCATAGATTACAAAGTATGTAGAACCGAAAGTGTTTAGGTTAACATTGCGTAAGAGGAACGAAATTATATTGTTAGTGCATGTGTAAGACCGAGACAAATTCCCTTTTATCTGTTCTCTTTTTTGAACCGACTTCCGTCTCATAATTCACACTCTAGTTTGGATACAATCAATGAACGGAAAGATTTCTTGCCACGCGCGTTTTTTAAAGAAATTGATGTCTCTAAAAAAAAAGACTTCATTGACTTATCAACGCTTCTAAAACGTTTTAAAGGTATTTAGTATTGCTTATTCAAGCAATTGGTGCATATTATTGTCTACCAAACTGAGAGAATCAATATTAATTGTCTACGGTTGAAAATGTGGTGATCATCCGAGTTGTCAGTCAAGAAGAGTTCTATTTTCAAGCCGTCGATCATGAAGAATTTTATTTGTACTTGATATTCAATTTTATTTGCAATCAATTTTGTTTTAAAAAGCAAATCGTTCGTTATTCATTCCTTAATCAAATCTGAATTCAAAGGCACATATTTATATCAAATCCAGAATCAATTTCAATAAATGAATTATTTTTGAAAAGTTATTGTTTATTAACTTTTTAAAATATAGGAAAACATACCCTATAAAAAGGTTACGTCAAAATGAGCTAAGAAGATTGGAATAGAAAATGAAAAATTTTGTGTTTATGCGCATCAGTTAAAAATTTTTTGTTGTTCCTATGTCATTCCCTATATTATCAACGAGATACAATATAATGAGCGAATTGTTCTGAACACATAACACGCATCTTCGAACCCACGGAATATATTGCAGACGGCATAAAACCAATATTAATAAATATACAATAAATATATAGCATATTAATCAATAAAATAAAGATTAATTGAGTTTTTTCGAAAATGGAACAAGAGATGCCATCTCCGACGAACAAGATGAACCACTTTTGAAACTGTAGTTTAACTAGTTTCCATCTTCTACCGCTATCATGCATTACATGATAAGTCTATTTCTCGTTCGCGAAGAGATGAACATTCTTTTTTTAGAGAGACTGCTACACGAAGAATGTAGCAATAGTGCACTCTGTACAGTTAGTGATAAAAGCACCCAACTCAATGGGTAATGAATAAATGTAAAAAATTTAACCTTAAATGTTTAAAACGGTTCAACTTCAAACAATATTTTCAGACACTTTCAGTGAATTAAAAAATGAATAACGTTGAAATTGAAGACTTTTACCATCATGATTTCACCACAGCTTCAGAATGGGAGGTGTTCATAGCGAGATTAGAAGAAATTATGCACGAATGGAAATTACCCAATACAAAAATTGGACCTTGTTTAAAATCAGGAGATTTTGTTAACTGTGAATGGGATCAGAATTCAGAAAAACTTCAGTTTGCTGGTTTGTATAAATACTCATTTAAAATTACAATTAAACATTCTTACAATAATTGGTGACATTGTTTATAATCAATCGATTGCAAAGATGGTGCAAACAGATGTTCCTTTTCTATTTCAGATGCGGAATTTATATTGAAACATTTCAAATTAAAATTAGAGGAGAAAGATGATCTTAATCCTGTGGAAGAAAGTGAAGATGAAAAAGTACAATGTCACAAAGATGCACTAAATGCATCTAATGATTTTGCTAGAATCGATGGGAATCATTTAGAAATAGCTCGCTATTATGGCATTAGAGAATTTCTTGTTTTACAACCTGTCAGAAAAGAATCTGTAACGGATGAGACTAAAATTAAAATTTTACTTAGTTCTCTTGCAATTGCTGTTACTAATGCTAATTGGTAATTGAGAAGAATTTATGGTTGATATTGTACATTAAGCTTATGATTGTTTTCATCTAATTAAAAAGTTTTAATTCAATCGTAGTGACATACCTACACTAGTGCAGGTACAAGAACCATGGCAGAAAATGTATCTTGGTACTAGCATTGGTAAAGGTGTTTGTACTCATTTTGACATGGTACACTTGAAAAAGATACCGCCTCACTGCAAGTATCTTACTGGTATGAATACAGTTTATAAAACACAAGTATAGAAGTAATTATATTAATTATATAAGCTATGTAACTAAAATTTTGTATTATCACAGTTGTGTGGTATTATTTTGAATATACATATTATTTTTAGGCTTACTTGCTTTATTTAAACAGAAGGTTGGGGAGGGTTGTGGAGTAAGACTTGATCCAGCAATGATATCTATAAGATTTTCATATCTATTAAAGGATTGGACTAATAGCACATGGACTCAAGAACCCCCAGATTTTGATTTTATGCAAGGAGAAACATTAGGTGTTGCAGAACTTGGTAAACTTCCATTTGGGGCAACATGTGATCCAATAGCGTAAGATTTTTATACCATAATTAAAAGCACAGTTGAGGCAATTGAGTCAGAAAAATATAATTTATTATTCCAGGGAACTTCACCTATTTACGACATGGCCTGAAATGTCGGAAAATGTTGTAGTTGATAGCGAAGGTTTTACAGATTTAGAACCACAGTTAGCACCTGAATGGTCTGTTCAAGTAAAAATGGTTACCTCTCCGGCCTGTTTACTTGGAGAGTATTTAATGGATTTTTTGCATCTTTGCAACAATCAGAAGACTATGGTAGACTTACTTGGAGATGCTGTACTTTATGCTCAACAGGATGATCAGTCATTGAGTTCAGTATTCAACATATTAACGGAATCTAAGATACCGACGATTTCAACCGTCGTTAGCAAAGCAACCACGAAAAAAAATAAGAATGTGGGAGGACCCATCCCGGAAGAAATATTATTATCAATACTTTACTTTTTATTCCCTGATGCAGACGAACATTCGGTGAGTAATATTTACTGTAGAGTCTACAGTAGACTCTAGTAGATTACAACCTAATCTTTAACTGATTCCTGGTCTTAAACAGATACACTAGCCGTCGTGCGTCATTTCCTCAAACGAAATTATTATAACATTATGCAAATATTTAATGTTTCAGAAAACTCCTTATGGTGATCTGACCATATGCAACGTGGACGAAGACCAGTGGAAAGGTGTGAAAACTTGTGCAATGGATAGCTTAGTGTGGCGACTTGCTATCGTTGCAGCCCACTGCACGCATAATCTCGGAGGAATGACAGCACTGGCGCAATTATGGTACGAATTTGTACAAGAAATCAGATTTCGATGGGAGAGAAACATCCTCATACCAGGGTAAGTACCGCATGTTTTATTACTGGTATAGTGAAATATAATTAGTATTTAAAATAAATTAGTACAGTAGACTCTCGTTATATTGCCACTTTTACAAACGCTAACTCCCATTATTATAGAGCACGGGGATTTACGTAGTTTATTATAATACATTGCTAACTCAAAAAATTGTCTACTTCCGCAACCCCAGTGGTTGTAATATAACGAAAGTCTATTGTATGCTAAAAAGGTACATTTTATAAAATGGCACACGCTTGGAATATAAATAATTCATTGTTCCTTCACTAATGTGAAATTTATTAGTAAACATGTTACATAATATTATATATATATATATATTTACTTTTAATTTTTTATTCTAATACTGAAACTTACAAAATGATTATTACTTAGAAATGTACAAAATCATGCTATTTCTGGCAGAGAAATCTCGTTGCCAGGACATATCACATGTAATAAAACACGTTGTATGTTAGTACGTTTCCCGCAATCATGTGTCTATGTATAAGCACGAGCATCAACACAATGTAGATTCTAGGAGACATTCTCTTTTATGATACAGTCTTTGGATAAAAGCACATCCATCATTCATACGCGTTAATCTTGACTCGTTTTCATGACTTAATGTCATTTGAAGAGATCGTATGATCGAATTAATTGAGCTTTACCTTGTATAATTCAAACACAGAGTACATTTTTAAAACGTGCACCTTAAAACACTTTATATCCATCTTTTTAACCCTTATACGTTTGTAATGTTCTTTTCCATACTACTCCGTTGATACATTTATTACATGGTAATATTTGTAAAAACTCTTATAAACATTAAACCTATCTATTCTATGTCTTCTAAAATGTCATGTTGTATAGTACATCTATATGAATGAGAGGAGTTCAGATGTTCCAAAACAATGTCACTGAACACATTTGAGCAAAATGATACACACATAGTGTGTCGCATCAAAGGGGCATGAGACCACTCCTCGTAGTAGGATTGCGTGCCATGTAGATGTCCATGTCGTGATCAGTCCAATTGTTTTCTTCATAATTATTGAGGGTATGCGTTGAATCAGCTATGCTGTATCTGCTACTAGGCCGTGGTGGATTTTGTTCTAAGTTGCGACTACATGATCGTGGTCTCTGTCTTCTGGCTGAAGAATGAGATGGCATGTGACTTGGCGAGAAGTTTGTCCGTGACATTCGATCGGAAGCTGCAGCTAGAGACTGCCGAGACTGCCTTAATTCTGTACAGAAAAAGTATTAAACTTTAAGATGAATTTATCGCACTACAGAATTACGTTGCATGGACAATATTGTAAGAGAAAAATTGTATGAAAGAATGAAAGATTTGAAATTTCGCAGATACTGACCTGGTCTTGTGTTAGCAAGATTAGATGACATCATGTTAGTTCCAAAATATCTTGTCGAAGTATTAGAGAAACTATGCTGCGATTGGCCATCAACTACATTTCGAGTTGACACCTTTCCACTGTAGTGTCCAGTTTGAGATCTGACATCATCGATGCAGGAAGCTCTAGTTATCGAACCTAGGAACGAATAACTCTAAAATACCAGAAGATTTTTTAAATTTGTCTATCTTCCATCTGTTCATATGTCTTTCAACAGTTTGGACAACTACAAATACAGCTAATTGCAAACTCATATTACAATAGAACATTTGAATTATAAACATATAACTTTTCAGCTGTTATCACACATTACAGTAAATTCTCTCTACTTGGCAGTCACGGGATATTTTTTTATAGTTGATACTCTTTCGTTACTCGACCATTCCCTTTCTATCACACATTCGAATCATATTCCACATTTACGAATTTGGTCTACATTTGAGTTCACTGCCTGATTAGCACTCTAATCTCGACATTGCCAGGTAGAGAGACTTCACCGTTTATAGCTCATACCTTGGCGATCTATGGGAAATATCCTCGGTCTTGGTATGCTTCTATTGCTGTAAGCAGACACCTGGTCCCACTCTTTCTGAGCATTATAAGCACTGAGAGTTGCCATTGAGGACAACGGCCCACCAGGGCTAGGCGTTGGACCGACGTTAGAGCAACAATTAACGGGCAATCCAGTAATCGGTCCACCCATCTTTGTCTGATCGATGCTGTGAAGGGTATGGAGCTTTCTAGCTCTTCGTCGGTTTGCCACGATGAATATTATAACCGCAACAACTATCGTTGCGCATATAGCCGCACTGGCAGCGATAGTAATTTTGTCCATGTTGGATGTGGGCGAATTCTCTGTTCTTACCTCTTTACACTGATTGTAAGGTACATTTGCTGGAGTTATGTTGGTTTCTTCCAGTGATACTACACAGACTACGATGCACTCCTATAATCAGCAGTCGTAGAAATAATTATATGTGCCGTGGAGAGATGAGGAGATTGTTAGTGTGAACAGGGATGAGTACTCCGTTCGGTTTGTCTGATTACACCGTTGGTTTCGAAACGGTATATGGTACACGTAAGCAATATTGAAAAAATTCACTTAAATGGGGACATGCAAAGAGGTAGTCAGTTCAAACCGTAACCACTCATTTGGCAGAAGTCTGTTAGTAAATGTAACTTTTTTAATGATAGTTTAAAGACCCACAATTTTAAGAACATAGGTATTTAAAGCTGTAGAGATTTAATTATCCGAAATTTGGAAATTTGGAGATTTCAAGCTTGATTAGTTGAGAGATACCTTGCGAAAATGTACTTCAATAACGATTAAAACATTTTACCTGTGAAGGAACGTTCTTGATTTTAAACTCTCGCTCACTGGCCTCCAAAGGTGGCGCCTGTTTAAAGCTGTTCTCCCCGAACAGCCTATAAATAACCTTGAACCCCAGTATATTAGTCGCCTCAGTGTCCCAGTATATGCTCACAGCATTGTCTTGTCTGAGCACATCTTTCACTATGATGTTCTTGTCGTTTGACTTTGATTTATACAACGGAGAACCAAGGACCAGCGGTGGTCTTGGTTGATGTTGCTGCAAGTGGTCCTGAGAGTGTTTTGAAGGAGACGGTGTAGTTCTCATGATCACCACATTTCCGGTTCTTGCAGCGGTAGGTCTGTTGGTAATACTTCTTGCAGTGGTTGAAGATGGTGCTTCAGTTTTTGGTTGTTCAGTCGTAGTGGAGGTCACGGTCGTGCTTATAGCAGTTGTTGTAGTGGTTGTAGTTGACATGGTGATAGGAGAATGAATGGTTGTGTTATAACTGCTTGATGTTCCGACAAATCCTGTAGGTTCTCTGGTGTCTACGCTTTCTACCGTACCGATTCCAATAATTTCTGGAGTTCTTTCGCAGGTCATTTCTAAAATAGATATTGATTGGTATAAATGTTCACATTTTCCTGTTACGTATTTTTGTTCTTTAAATACAGTAGACTCTCACGGGGCTGATTACTAATTACGATTACAAATTGTGGTAATATAACCACTACTAATATAATTTTAATGGCCACTAAATTTTACCACTACTAATATTATTTATATTAATAATATTAAAGAATTTATATTAATATTTTATATAAAAACCTTCTGCATGGATGTTGTAAAAGCTTTTGTCCTGTAGTTTCTGTGGACTTCCGCAAAACTGCGGTTTGCGTTCCCGACTGGTGACTTGCAAATCCCTGGTTTTTATCCACTCTACGATCCATCGTAGTTTACAATCGCAAACCAGAAATCGACCTCCTAAACTTAGACCGCGAAGTGTTCCGTTTAACCGTGCTAAAGCTTCCTCCGGAACGGTGGACAATGGATTTCCATCGATCGCCAGAAGAGTTATCGATGGATTCTTCTCGAAAGCGTTCACTGGCAGTTCCGTTATTAAGTTAAATCCAATATCTAATACCTAAATAAAACACGAGGTAATTTTGTTTAAATAATACATTTATAATAATTTTCATAAATTGTAAATTTTAATCTGGGTACAAGAAATGCAATCGCTCGATAATTCCCTGTCAAATATGTTATGTATTTTTATATAATTTTCATGGCTGCGCCATTCGCAGCTAATTGATCCATTATTTAGATTATAACTCAATTTCGACGAAAATACGAAATGTAAAATTTGAATTGTAGCGTGTATTACAAGTGTGACAATATCATAGAATAAGAGGTGTGGTAATATCATAGAATAAGAGGATAAATTCCATCTCTTATTTATTTTTAATCTAAAAATAACTGCTAATCCATAAACCTACTGATAATTGCACCATCAGCAATACCTAAAAATATATAAAACTCACTCTGAGGTCCTGAATGCTGTTGATAGCAGCCGTCGGGAAATCCGGAATGAGATTATTAAGTAGGCTCAAGGAGCTCAAAGTGTGTTTGATGCCATGAAACGCGTCTGGTCCAATATTCTGGATTAGATTCCTCTCCAGGTTCAATCCAGTCAGCGATTCAAGTCCTTCAAAGGCTTTGGTGCCAGCGGATCCAGGCAGTTCCCTGATACTGTTCTGCGACAAATCAAGAAAAGCCAAAGTCCTAAGGCCTTTCAATGCCTCCGGTACTTTCTTTTGCCTAGTACCCTTCAGATTCAAATTTTTTAACGATCTCTCCAGACCGCGAAAGGCTCCAGGTGCAAGGGTCACTTCGTTATCAGATAGCTTCAAGGTAACCAATTTTAGGCCTGCGAAAGCATTGTCGTTAACCCTGGTGATCTTGTTCATCGAGAGGTCCAGTACTGTCAGATTCCTCAGATTCTTCAAGGTATTGCTAGGTATTTCTGTGAGGTCGTTGTCCTTCAAATTGACGCTCTTCAACGAATTCTCCTGGCCCTTGAAGGCGTCCGACTCGATCGTCTTGATTCGACAGCCAGATAGTTGTATGTTGTTGATCCTCACCGACGCGAATGAATTGTTCCTCAGCGTACCGATAGTGCTGTTGTTGACGTAGAACAAATCCACGTTGCTTTTCGACGCATAGCGGTGCAAGGCAGATAGAAGCTGGTCATAATCGACGATATCGCATTGCACGGAGAGCTCTTTGGCCAGGTTATAGTCACAAATACAAGAGCTTTCGAGATCCACTACATGTTGAGCCCACGGACAACTGGAGGTTGCGGCTACCTGGTTACCAGCAATTATGTTCGCTACCAGCAGCAGCAGCACTGTCGGATGTATATCTGTGAACATTTGTTTCTTCGTGTGATTTTAGGTAAAAAATGTGAAAGGAATATAAGTTTTTAAATGGAAACATTTACGGGCAAAAGTATGCTCTTCACTTGCTTTTCTTTGGTTTTAGGTTTCTCTGTTTTATTTGAGATTACGAATTTTTTTTAAATCGTAAGACAGGGTAACTAATTTTGTTTAGTTTGTAGATTAGTTAGTAGCCTGTTAGATAATAGCGAAATTTATCTATTGATCTTTAAGAGTCGTTTCGTAATGGAGACATTGTATGTGAAATGGAAAACGGAAGGTTGTGAGGAAAAAATGACAAAGTTTCATAAATGAGCGTAACACTTGGGGTGTTTCTCTGGTAAGATCATTTAACGAGTTCCGACAATCTAGAATTAAAAAAGTATGAGATTTGCAGTGTCGCAAGCTGAGGTTGCTTAAGCGTTATTTCAATGGAAAGGGTGAATTCTGGGAGAAAGTCACTACGACGACTATGCGATTTCGAAACGTGTCGCAATTCCCTTAAGTCCCGGCAATTATACATGCATGTACCTACATATTTGCCTTATTACGGTGCGCGCAACCTTGGCACAGACCATTTCACAAACGTAAAATGTCTCATTTGTGTAACGATATGTGGTATACCGGACAACTTTCGTGGCGTTTGACTTTTCATCGGCTGTTACTCGCTCCATTGAACGCAACCGCTATTATACATCGAATCTAGGACTCCTCGGGTACAGATCATCAAGACACCGTGACATATACAGGCAGACCAAACTTGTGCAGCCTAAACGAACCGCAACAAACCGGGGTCCATAGAGTGAACCCGTTACGAGTCAATGGCCGGAGTAAACGCATGTCCTCGCCTCGATGACTCTATCAATGGCAAACGACGAACGGTATACAAATTCCTTTCTTCAGAAACGTTCTCTCGTTCGTTTGTTTCTTTCGTAATTAATTGACGTCAAACGGTACGTTGTTTGTTAATTAAACAGCCAACGTTCGACCTGTATATCAAGTCAAAAGTTTCTCTACGGTAACGAATTCGGACGAATAAAAATCCTCGTTTTGCTTGAACGCTTTTGTTAAATTTATAATGGGTTTATTCTGACGTTAATGGATAAAATTGTAATCCTCGTTTTGAATTACTTCTGCGGAGCTTGTAATGGGTTTCGTTCGCAGATAAAAATGTAATCCTTTGCTTTACTTTTTCGATGAAATAGGAGCGTTTGTTAGAGGTGTATGCTTGTGTTTTATTTTAATTATTCAGGAGGAATTTTTAAAAATAAGTTCTGCAGATAACTAGTTAATTTAGCTCCTCATTTATCGAGATTAATGCACAAGATATCCTAAAGGGCGCATCAAGATTATAAAGCGAAATTCCTTTAAAAACCAAAAAATTAAAAAATTCAATTATTTATGTATTTTAGACATTTTAGTCTTTGATGTCCAGCAGTTAATATCGAAAAGATAATTAACTGTGTCACTGTGTAAAATTTTTTACATTAAAGAATGAAAGCGAAAGTTACTTATAAAATTGTGGTATACAATGAAAGTGGAGTAACTCTGATTTGTATTATTTTTTAATTGCACGAAACGCAAGACCTTAACAAAAATTAGAAATTAAATGTTTCTAAAAAATGGTGTTGCCCCACGTTCATTGTAAATTCATACATGCTTTCTAAAACGATCAAAACATTTTTTAATTACTCAGAAAAAATCTATTTCATTAAAACTGTCTGATAAGTTATTTCTTGAGAAACGTTTCTTGATACTTTTTATCTTATTTGATTTCGTACATTACAATAATGTAAATGAGCCACTGTTTTTTTAGTATGTCTTACAAACTTTCATACAATAATTTAACAGCTGAGGGACTATCCTATACTCTGATTTCAATTTATGTTCGCTATCATTCGATCTAAATCAAATTGAAAGAAAAATGCAGGTAAAATCGAGGTTTCCTAAGCATAATAATTCCCTTTCTCGCGGTGCACTTTCCAATGCTACCGGACTGAATGAACAATGCAATTAATTACAATGTTAATCGTGTAAAAACTAGAAACAACTTTATCCTTCGAATGAAAATGTTCGTTGCGCTTTGATAGCTCAACGTTACAGAGTGCAGATCTTCGCTAGAAAAATATGACTGTGTAGTTTATTAATTAGCAACGAAATAACAGAATACATATATTTAAAAACTGTAATCGTTCTATAATTAATTCTGCAGCATATTATTAATTAGGGTGTGTAATTATTCTTGTGTGCATCCGTGAAGATGTTTCACGTACAGCTTGCCGTAGTATCGTGCTTAGGTTCTGAATTAAAATAGTGCGTGACTTTTAATTATCGTCTTATAATTATGCAGTCGAGTTTCTTATTACTTTGATTTTCTTTTGAATCGAATAATGTAAACATTGCGCATATAATTATCTTTCTATTTGTTCGATATGAACCGTTTTAAAATATACATTTTATGTGCGTATAAAATTCAGAGCTACATGAGATTAACGGGTTAGATTTTATGATCATTTATATGAAATGTTTTATATTATTATCAGATGGTGTACCAAGCATATGTGATATCATTGATGCGGTATGATGCGTTTATGACTCAAGCTCGCGTACTGTCATTATTTTCAAATTAGGATGCTTTTTTGATAAAATGCTATTTACAAAATTCTTTGATTTTTGCTTACGGGCATTCTTCAATGTTTGTTTTGGTGGTTTTCATGAAAAGGAGAACCGCTGCTTTAAGACTCGCCTCATTGATTTTTATGACTTTGAAATATGTTATTAAGGACAATGTTATAAGTTACTTTTTATTACACATACAGTTACAAGTATGTATATTCTTTACTGTAAACAATCTTCACTGATCTTAACGATCTTGATACATGTTAAGGTCAACGTCCTTTACTTGTCAGATATAATTAACAAATAATTATTAACAAATGATTGACAGCACAGTGATTTGACAATTTTAGATGTAATTCGATCATGTTCATTTAGCAGTCAATCAAAATTAGTGAATGGAATTTTACAATCTTAAGTACAGTATTCCACACATCGTGGAATCTCAAGTATAGTATTTCACTCATAGTAAAATCCCAAACATAGCATTCGACATACACAGCAAAGGTGCAAGTGTAATATTCCATACACCGTAAAATTTCATATATAGTATTTCATATACTGTAAAATCTCAAGTATAGTATTCCACACACAGTAGAATCTCAAGTACAGTATTTTACTCATAGCAAAGATCTGAGTGTAATATTACATACACAATAAAATTCCATGTATAGTATTTCATACATTGTAAAATCTCAAGTATAGTATTTTACACACAGTAGAATCTCAAGTATAGTATTTCACTCACAGTAAAATCTCAAGCATAGTATTCGACACACACAGTAAAGACCCAAGTGTAATATTCCATATACAGGAGAAGTCCACATATAGTATTTCATACACAGTAAAATCTCAAGTATAGTATTTGACACACAGTAATTATCCAAGTGTAATATTCCGTACATAGTAAAATTCCATGTATACATAGCATTTCATACAGAGTAAACTTCCAAGTATAGTATTCCACACACAGTAAAATCCCAAGTATAGTATTCCACACACAATCAAATCTCAAGTACGTAATTTCACCCATAACCAGATTCCTAATATGGACTTCTAGGTCCAACCAAATCTGAATGAATACCATGCATAGTTGAACCCACAGGTGTAATTCTATGTACAGTAAAATCTCAAGCGTGGAATTCCACACACAGCCAAATCTAGAGCAAGGAATTTTACACATGGCCAGAAACCTTATATGGAATTCTTCCATATTAAGCAATATTCCTAGTGAGGAATTTGACGCACAGCCAAATCTTGAGCAAGGAATTCTATGCATAGCCACATCTTAAGAATGGAATTCCACAGTCTACAAAATTGCAAGCGTAGAATTCTATATATAGTCATAATTGAAATATTTTGAAGGTGCAATTGTATGCACAATGCAATTTCGACATAAGAATTCTACAGATGATTCGAAGTATGGTAATTTGCAATTCGTTGAATACAAAATGTAAAATTTCATACATAATAAAATGCAAAGTGTGGAATTCTACGCACAGTAAAATTGAAAATAAGGAGTTCTACGTGCAGTAAAATGAAAAATAAGGAATTCTATTCATAGTAAAATTTTAAATAATTAGTTGTATACACAGTAAGAGGGGTGTAACAGCAAGAAATTAAACAGCACCCTAGAAACTTCTAAAGCTTGTGTAAAACTGTTCTAAAACTTCTTAAACGCATCGTGTATGAATTACCGAAGCACCGTATGAAAAATTCAGCTTACAATATCTGGAAAATATAAGCGAACAAAAATTCCGGAAGTTCTTTGACCGGTACGATCGTCGAATTTCTAGAGCGGAGTGAACGATTTGAGTCTTATTACCTGGAGGGGGAAAGAATAAGGACAGGTTGCGAATACTTAATTAATTATAATGTGGTCGGTCACGGCGTTGCATCGTGGAACACTTGTTAATGGGAGCACAGGAACAGCATGCCAGTTAGTGTAGTGCATATTATCATGATTACTGGCCAATTTACCCGATAATTATTAGCAGTTGCTGTTACGAACGATTCGGTAGTTTGGTTTGCAGAATTCTTTTCAGCGATCCTCAGTTTTTATAATTGGGTTCAAAATAGGTATTAGTAAATTTACTTGGTATGAGTATTGAAGAAGTTCTCGTGCACGGAGACAGTCTGACGAGGATATTTTTGTGAAACAAGCAAGCAGAATCTTACATCTCAGGTCTTTTTGCTGCTGAGCAAAAATATATGGTTATGGACTTCTAGGAACTTCTGTTCTGGGAACAGTGGATGGGCATATTATACTCAAGAGATCTGTTTTGAAAAATGTAGACAAACTTCAAATTTTCCAAATTTCTATATTCTCAAAATTCTAATTTTCCTAAATTTGGATTTTTCGAGTTCCAAA